TGAGGTGCAGTCGCACAAGCTGTGTATCTATTCACCGGGGGCACCAGGCCATCCCCAGTGCTCTGGCGGAGGATGGAGAGGCATTTCCGACAGGTTAGTGACCGAGCGCGGAGGTGACAGGAACAGGTGGTGTGGTGGCATCTTTACAGCCTGAGATTGGACTTTAAGACCAGCTATTTATTACATAAAGCTTTTCTGTGGGAAATTCTCAATAAATTTCCTTCTTTCCAATTAAGTCCTGCAGAGATTCAATCCACTGCTGTTCCCCTAAATAATGCCCACAAGGGTGTGCTGAGCAGGTGCATTTCCCCACCACCTCCACCTGTTGTCCCAGAACTGGGGGAGCACCCAGTTACAGGATCCTGTTGACAGGATGCATTGGGTAACAGACTAGACATCAGGGTACCTTGGAGGCTGTGGTCGACCCAACACATGGGTGCAGCAGAAATCAACTCTTTGTGGTCAGGACTGGTAAGGGACAGCTCCGGACCTGGTACTTCCCAGCACGGCGCAGAGCTGGGCCGCTGGCCTCATCTCTGTCCGCCACATACCGTCTGGCTGATTAACTATGCTGTTGGTGAAATTGCCTCACTTCTCATTTCTTCTGTAAAAGGGGCTGGTGACAACCAGGACCTCACAGAGTGGTTCCACATGGTCACATGAAGCATCACGCAGGAGAACAGACACTTGCTGTCATACTTTCATTATCATTAGTGCCGCTCAGGTCACGTTACAGCCCATCTAGTCTCTTAGGGATACCCTCTGTAAAAAGTAAGTTAAAAAGTATGGCTTGTGGTCTGGTGACATAGACTCTAATTAATGCAGTTGGTCTATTGAAGGAGGGCGTCTACTTGTTGATTTAATCATTCAACAAAGCATGCCGTGTACGTTGTCCATTTCTAAGCCACGCCGAATATGCTGCCTACATTTCAGGTCACACTGGTCATGTGGCATCTCCCTGCAGGAAGCAGCTGCAGACCTCTTGCAGACAGACACCGAGGCCACACCACTTCTCAGGTCTTCCAGCCCCCATGCCACACCTGCTCTGTGCAGCCAGGCAGAGCTCATGGGACGCATTGAAATGAAAAGCTTTTGTGAACAATGCTTCCGTGTGGGCAGCTTTGGACCATGTGCTTCTGCGCATGCCATTTCGATGGTCCTAACACCATGTTTGGTGCTGTGAAGAGGACTGAGAAAATGGTGCTGGGGTTAGAGTGCAGACCAGCTTGTGGGATGCCTGCAGTCACCAGCCTGTGGCCTGGGCTGCTTCTCCGTGGCCCCTCTGCCCACCAGCAGCCACGTGTGCCCATAATTGCCAGCTCATTTTTACTGGGGCCCAAAGAAGTAATAATCTTGAAAAAATACTGGCATGAATGGCTGAGGCAAATCAACCCATTTCATAATCAAACAGAAATCCTGAGGTCCCCCACATGCTTCTGAGACTCTGATTTTTCTGATACTTATGATTTTCTTTGTTAATTAACCTCGCGGTGTGTTAGCTGTATGCCGCGTGAACAGCAGCTGTCCGGCGTTGGGAAGGCACATGGTGGCATGGCCCAGGCGCGGTTCCCAGGGCCTCCGATCCACCGGGCTGGGGATGAATGTGCAAAACCGAGATGGACCGCACCTGGGAGACACTGGCGGGGTTGGTGAGAGGCGATGCACAGCACAGAAGTTCAGATAAGCTTCCAACTCTGTTAACACACATTTCAAAAAATTAAGCTGACTATACTTATTTGTAAGGGAGATTCTTTTTAGCAACCCGTGTTATTATAATGAAGCATATTTCATTTTAAATGAATATCCACATTAAATACATAATTAAAGCCCATATGAGGCATTCCTACACAATCTTATTTTCTAAATTCATATTAACAGTGAAGGAATTAATAGAAAAATTTAAAAAATTGTTTAGATATTTATCAAGTCAAGAAACTGATACCCTACAGGGGGAAATGCTACACAAATCATACTGAAATAAAATGTGTTCCTACTAATGTATTTCTAACTACAGTCAGGAAGGGAATCGGTGCACCACATATGTCCACCCTGACGCACCCTGACGCACCCTGGCCACTAATATGAAGATTCCCTTCATCACCTGTTGTAAGAGTCCCCACGAGGTGCTCAGGCAAACGAGGCTCGGGAGAGAAACCCTCCCGGTGCCTCAGTGGCGGGGGCACTTCAGCTGCTGCCTGGTGACCCAGCTGGGCATGTGCACAGGACCCCCGAGGAGCCTCCTGAGTGGGCCTCTGATTTTAAAGCAGACCACAAAACGGGAACAAGCCCTGTGTAAACCCGACTTCCAATCTCAAACACGTGAGTCTTGGCAGAGTCGAAGTCTCGGGCCGGGGGGTGCAGAATGCCGACTTCTCCATCTGTTTCAAGGCGAATCATAGTGCTGGTTCATTCTGGGGAAAGGAAAAGATGCAGTGTTACAGTTGAGTTTCTTTAATTTAACACCATTTGAAAAAGGAAATGGCCCTACCGCGCATTTCCTCTTTTCTCTGTGGAATCTGATCCGATTCTGCCCAGCGGCTTCCTCACAGAGGGGCTGCTGGGTGGGCTGGCCTCTGAGCACCAGGAATCAGCATCCGTGTCACTAGATGGCCATCTGGACCCCACACCCCCCTGTCCCTGCTGTCCTGGCTGTGGGTGGGGATGGAGCCGGCCTGTGGGGAGTGTTTGGTAAGGGCTCTCCCTGCCCCCAGCCGCGATCCCGGCTCTGGCCACCCCTTTAGTCCCATCAGGGACCCCAGTGAGCCCAGGGCCGTGCCCACGACGTCCTGTAAAACCATGCCTCTGCTGGAAATCGTCCTCGAAAGGATGCAGTTTCCTAACTTCCCCTGTGCCTGGGTTGGGGAATAACTGTGTGACATGGTTACTAGAACTCTAGAGGCGCCACTTTGGGAGGGATTGAGTCTCGCTCTTCTAGCAGCTGCAGTGAGACCCAGGCCGGCCTCTCCCAGCCATGGACCACTTGGGTGGCCGGGTCACTGGCCCTTTAGATGGTGCTGGCTGTCGCGCTCCACTGTAGGCGCAACGAAATACGCGCTCACCAGCACGATTCTTCCAGGCTCCCCACGGATGCAGTGGGGCTTTTCCAGCACGCCGTTCAAACGGGAGCTTTTTTAGGCTGTGTCCTGCCCCATGTCTTTCCTTGGTGCTGTGATGACGCACTGAGGACCCTCAGGGCTCCACCTCTGCACGTTCCAGTGAGGTCCAGCAGAGAAAGAACCAGGAGTTTCTGGGACCCTTTTCTAGGCCAAAAAAGGGGGGAAAACTACTCTATGAGCTTCTTGGTGTCTGCCTTCTGCAATGTAGAGAATGAGCCCAATAAGAGCCTGTTCTCTGACTTTATTTCAAACATCAGGTTCATGTGTGTATTTGTATGGATATGATTTTTTCCCCCCTTCTGGCCGCCTTCACCCATTTCTCCCTCCCACTGACTGCCTCTGGCCCCGCCCCCAAGTCTGTTCTCTGAGTCCTTGTGTATTTGAGTAAGATCTGTACATGTGCCTTGGTTTTCGTTGAACTTTCCCTTGAATGACTCAGCTACTGAGAAAGCAGCTGGCGTCCCTGGGACGAGGCCAGCGACCCCGGATGGGACAGCCTTTGCAGGTTTCCAGTTTGTCATCACATTCCTGTTTCTGGAGGGCCAGAGCACTTTTCCATCTCACTGGACGGATCACCACTCGGGAGCCGGATGGGAGGCAGAGGGGGGCCTCTCCCGGCCGGGCACAGCTGAGTAAACACGCAGGCGCGTCGTGCTGCATGGCCAGGACCCCGTGGCGCGGCAGGGTTTCTGTTCACATGTGTCCTGGGACAGTGCCTTGCTGGGAGTGAGTTATGGTTGAGGATACCTGGAAAAGAGGACAAGGGGAGAGAGACCACTGAATGTCTTGAACTCCAACTCTAAGATGCCTTTCTGAGAATAATGGCACCACTTTTTTAGTAATAGTAACAGGAAGAGCAGGAGAGCAGGTACATGTGCTCACCCTGAGTGTTTACAGGGATCAGTAACAGTTTTGAGTAGGATAAGTAGGAAATCAGAAGACAGTGCAGGGAAGAGGTAAATAACCCCACCTCATTCCCATATGCAAAACGCTAAGCCTGGGCCGTATTTAACTTGCCCAAATCCTCCTCGATACAAAGTTAGGACACAACCTTTCTGTCCCTTTATGTTTCCTCTGAGATCAGCAATACCCTGTCAGGCTACGGAGTCTCAATGAAGGCTTTACTATCAGGAAAGATATTTTATTATTTATCATTTGTCTGCAGGTGTTCACACCTGCCTTCTAAGTATTTCCTTTTTATTTATTTATTTATTTTTTGCTCTGGCCTTTCTTTTGTTGCACTGAGCTGTTGGGAGAATCGCTTCTGCCAGGTCCTTCAGAGATGTTATCCCAGAACAAGCAGTGCCAGCGGACCGCAGAGCTGGAGCATCTGAGGCCAACTCCAGGGACGTCCCCAGCACCTTCCTCCTGTACTGGTTGTAACTGAATTTGAAGTCATCTCCTGGAAGGGACTGTAGGGACTGTCACACCTTAATAAAATGTTTAACATTTTATTACACAGATTACACATATAAACAAGATTACACAGGCCAGCCATGCTTTGTCACAAAAAGCTCTTAATTTTACATACATGTCTCATTAGGTTGAAAATAGGAAATTGTTGCTATATGATTGCTTTTGACCCACGAAACAAGCAGTTTTGTACAATTCAACCCCATGAATTGAAGACCGGTTGCCTGTATCTGATTTTCCTTTCTAGGCCTGAAAATCAGGGGAGAAACAGCAAATGGGCACTTAAAATCCCTAAATTGTCTTGTGCATCCTATTCAAAAACTGTCCAGCAGAAAGGACGTAACCCCATTTCCCACCAAACCTGATTGTGTAACCTGAAGGTCGTGGAGGGAAGTGTGGAAGGCCCCATCGACACAAAACCCTCCTGAAAAATTCACATGCAAACATCCTCTTTCTGTCTCCTTTCAACAGGAACAAGAGTATGTGGGACGATGCTATGGAAACACTGCCAGCAGAGGAAGTCCTGTGTTTTCCTGACGCCCACCTGGCAAGTGAATTGCCCACTGGCCCCAGGTGAACAGTGTGGACACAGAGCTGCAGATGCCAGGATGCAAGACAGACACCCACCCCCTGGCTGACCGTTCATAAACTGGAACCGCAGATGGGAGTCCAGGAAAAAGGCCCCTGGGGAGGCTGTCTACAGAAACGGAGTTAGATCTGGGTGCTGAGGTTTTGATGCCGCACGCCTCAGGTCTGGAGGCCTGGGCGGCAGTGATGTGACCAGACTCTGCAGGGAAGGGGCCCCCGAGCCTGGCGCTGTGGCTGCAGGGCCACCCTGTATGCTGGTCCCAGCAGCTGCGCGCCGGCAGGAAGGCCCCCCACCAACCCCCGGGCGCACGGCCCCACGGGTCAGAAGGTCTACGTCTGCCGTGGACACACACCCCTTCCCGGGAGACGGGAGCGGCGGGGAGCAAAGAAACAGCGGACGCGTTGGTGAAATCTGATCTCTGCCACCAAAAGCCCGGGAACCAGCGCTCCGGAGGAAGGGCGACCTTGGGCAGCCGGAGCCGCGTGAAGTCATGGTGGGCTGCTGAGCGGGGAAACGCTCCATGGAGAGCCCGGTGCCCCCCTGCGTCCCCTTCCCGGGGGCCGGCCGCGGCCGCGGGGCCCAGCCCGGCGGCGTCTTTGCGCGCGGAGCGGCCGGCGCCGAGGCTCCGGGAGAGGGCAGCCTGCAGCCGCCGGATGCGGCCGGGGGGGCGGGCGCCGCGTCCCCGGCGCAGACACCCTGCAGTCTCAGCGCGTCGCTGTGCTTCAGCTCCGGGGACGACTCGCCGCCGCAGTCTCGCGTCTCCGCCGCGGAGGGCGCAGCGGCCTCCCCGCCCTCGCGCCGCAGCGGCCCGCGGGTGGTGCAGAAGCAGTGGGGGGCCAGCAGCGCGGGCGCCGCGTCCTCCCAGGAGCGCGGGGACCCTCAGGAGCCCTCGTCCTCCGAAGATCTGTCCCCGGAAGAGCCCGTGTCCGCCGAGGAGCTTCTGTCCCCTGAGGATCCCGGGGACACCACGCCTGTGCCCCCTGGCGTCGGACCCGCGCACGGGGAGCCCGACCTGGTCATCGAGGTGTCGGGCCGCCGGCTGCGGGCGCACAAGGCGGTGCTGGCGGCGCGCAGCGACTACTTCCGCGCGCGCGTGTCGCGGGACGTGCTGCGGGTGCAGGGCGTGGGCTGGGCGGCCCTGCGGCTGCTGCTGGCCTACGCGTACAGCGGGCGCATGGCGGGCGTGCGCCCCGACAACGTGGCCGAGGTGGTGGCCGGCGCGCGCCGCCTGCAGCTGCCGTGCGCCGCGCAGCGCGCCACCGACGCCGTCGGGCCGCAGCTGAGCCTGGCCAACTGCTACGAGGTGCTGAGCGCGGCCAAGCGGCAGCGGCTGGCCGAGCTGCGCGACGCCGCCTACCGCTTCATGAGCGACCACTACCTGGAGGTGCTGCGGGAGCCTGCCGTCTTCGGGCGCCTGACGGGCGCCGAGCGCGACCTGCTGCTGCGCCGCCGCCTGCGCGCCGGCCGGGCCCGCCTGTTGGCCGCCGCGCTCGGGCCGGCCGGGGAGCGCGCGGGCAGCCGCCCGCAGAGCCCGTCGGGGGACGCGGAGGCGCGCGGGGACGCGGCCGTCTACTGCCTGCACGCGGCGGCCGGCGAGTGGCGCGAGCTGACGCGGCTGCCCGAGGGCGCGCCGGCGCGGGGCTGCGGCCTGTGCGTGCTCTACAACTACCTCTTCGTGGCGGGCGGCGTGGCGCCCGCGGGGCCCGACGGCCGCGCGCGCCCCTCGGACCAGGTCTTCTGCTACAACCCGGCCACCGGCCGCTGGAGCCCCGTGCGGCCGCTGCGCCAGGCGCGCTCGCAGCTGCAGCTGCTGGCCCTGGACGGCCACCTGTACGCCGTGGGCGGCGAGTGCCTGCTCAGCGTGGAGCGCTACGACCCGCGCGCCGACCGCTGGGCCGACGTGGCGCCGCTGCCCCGGGGCGCCTTCGCCGTGGCGCACGAGGCCACCACTTGCAACGGCGAGATCTACGTGTCCGGGGGCTCGCTCTTCTACCGCCTGCTCAAGTACGACCCGCGGCGCGACGAGTGGCAGGAGTGCCCGTGCAGCAGCAGCCGCGAGCGCTCGGCCGACATGGTGGCCCTGGACGGCTTCATCTACCGCTTCGACCTGTGCGCGGCGCGCGGCGACGCGCCGGCCGGCGGGGTCAGCGTGCTGCGCTACCACTGTCTGGCCAAGCGCTGGGGCCGCTGCGCCGCGCCCCTGCTTCCCCCGGGTGGGGGCGCGCCGGCGGCGCTGCCGCCCTTCCGCTGCGCCGCGCTGGACGGCGCCATCTACTGCGTCAGCCGCGCGGGCACGTGGCGCTTCGTGCCGCCCGCGGACGCCGAGCGCGGCGGCGACGCGGACCCCGGCGGCAGCTTCGAGCCCCAGGCGCTGCGCGCCCCCTGGGACGCCCGAGGCCTGCTCTTCCCGTTCGTGCTCAACCTGCCGGAGAGGCCAGAGCGAGGCGAGGAGGGCGCCGCGTAGGGTGGGGGGCGCCGGGGCGGGGCGCGCCCTGGCGGCCTGGGACTTCTTGCGGCGGTGCTTTCAGGCCCGCGCCCCGTTCTGCGTTCCTTTCCGCTTCGCTTTGCTTTCCGGGTTTTGGCGTAAGGTGTAGGCTGTGTGCGGTGCCAACCTCGCCTAGGGCGCGGGACACCTGCGGGAGAGGGCCGTGCCCCGGAGGGCCGGGGGCGCCGTGGTGCGGCCCCGGGCGGAGAGGCGCGGCGCCGGGCCGGTTCTGCGCGCCGCGTCGGGGGGACGAGAAGGCCGCGCTCTTTGGCTTCAGGTGTGAAATGTGGGGCGGGGCGCGCCCTGGCGGCCTGGGACTTCTTGCGGCGGTGCTTTCAGGCCCGCGCCCCGTTCTGCGTTCCTTTCCGCTTCGCTTTGCTTTCCGGGTTTTGGCGTAAGGTGTAGGCTGTGTGCGGTGCCAACCTCGCCTAGGGCGCGGGACACCTGCGGGAGAGGGCCGTGCCCCGGAGGGCCGGGGGCGCCGTGGTGCGGCGCCGGGCCGGTTCTGCGCGCCGCGTCGGGGGGACGAGAAGGCCGCGCTCTTTGGCTTCAGGTGTGAAATGGTTGCAGATGAGCAAAGTTCTTGAGACTTTCCTAATTTAACGTAAAAGCTCATGCCAACGTATGTTCAAAGCTGGTCCGTTTCACTGCCGCGTGAAGGAGCCTCGGGGTGAGCGACCACGACCAGTGCGGGCCCCGTCCAGGTGGCGGGGCCACGGGGCGCACACAGCCCTCAAGGGCGGCGCCCTGGCACTGCCCCACTGAGCTGTGGGCTGGATGCTTAGTGATATGGCCAGCGACACAGCGATGATTTACTCTTCGGGTTTTAATTCTTTGGTGACTGAATGGTGACAAAGGGCATGACCATGACTTGGGAAAAAGCAGCTGACAGGGAAGGTTGTCTGTTTTAAAAGGGCCCTTTGGGAGCCGCTGTCTGTGCTCGGCCACTTTCCTGTTTTATAATGGGCTCAAAGAGGGCATTATTCCTGCCCCCCACTCCGAGACAGGGGTAAAGTCGTTTCTTTCTGACAGTTCTAAAGACAGACATGCAGGCTCATCTTGAAATCACTGCGTATGCTTTTCAATGTGTATAATGTAATTCTGCTGAGGGAGACTAACTTTTACAAGCATCATTTTAAGAAAATATGACAGAGGGACAATGAGCATATTCGTGGGGGCAAATAACGTGTGTTTACAATCTAGCTTAGCAAGTAAACTACATTTTTCTAATTTTAAATTACAAAACTCTCCAGTAGAATCAACAAGAAACTCAGTACTGACTGGATGCAAAGATTAAAAACAAGTCAATCGATTACTCCTCACTTGTTATAACATTGTACTTTCCGAATATGTATAGGGCTTCCTACTTATTAAGAACTTAAGGATAAAATAAAGGCTCACCAGCAGAGGCAAACTGACTTGTATTCTGAATCCACTCCCATTTTTTATTTTCTATTGTAACAGGACAAGTACACACAGAGTTGACTGGTAGGCAGTCAGGTGAAATGCATACTGTGCTGTTACTTGCATGTTGACCCAGTGAGGGGAGTTCACATCTCTGTAGCAATCAGTGGGGTATTGGGAAATAGGCTGTGCTCTGTGAAGAGTCTGTGGTTATGAAAGCTACCAGTTAAGTATGTTTAGAAATGATCAGCTCAGAACCTATGCATGTGCCAGAGGAATGGAATTTATGATTATATATTCTTGTGACTTGTATGTTTGCTCATGCATGGAGAGGGTATTTTGGAAACCTAGTTAATTATCTTAGGAAGGAATCTAAACAGACTTTGTCTTGCCTGACTTCATCAGCCTTTTGTAGGAGTAGAATGGAGAACAGGTAGAAAAAGGAACAGTGTTCTTTAAAGAAATGTAATCTCATACTGTAGTTCATTTTCTCTAGAAGTTTGTTACTTACACTTAAACTTTTTATATGAAATGGAACCGGGCTAATATTTTCATTCCTTAAATATCAAGTTCATAAAATATTATCACTGTGATTTTACTTGAGAAATCATTCCTTTGATGTTTACTGATTAAAACCAAATGCTGAAGGTGGGCTGCCAGAATAAAGTTGTTCCCAGAAGGGGATGTGAGCAGCCACAGGAGATACCCAACTGGAGATTTTGTGTATTACTTTATCATGTAACTTAATAAAGGAATGCCTGTCCTAGACATAGCACCACTTCCTCTGGGTACTGGCCTTAGAGTCCCAGGGGGCTGTCATGATGCAGTACACTGGACACCTGAGGGTGAGAGGATATAGAATATTAAGGACCACGGTCCATGTAAAGCCGCATGAAAACACATCCCAGAGGACCTGCCATGCTGGGAGGTTCTTGTGCTTTTGGAGGCCAAAAACCTTTGGTTCTTGGGTGTGGAGACCCAAGGTTTTGCACCAATGACACAGAAAAGCCACAGCCTTGGAGGTGGTTGATTTGTAGGACTGGGGGTTCGGTGGTGGGGCTGGGACTTGCCTGGGGAAGGGTCATGTCCCACGGAAGTATCTTGGCATATTCGGCATGGTATTCTAAAGCTCTGTCCAACACAGTTTAGAAAAACAGTTGTTGCAGAAATATTGCTGATCTCCTTAGTAAGAGTCAAATGACGCTAATGCATTTCTTAGGTCCATCCATAATTCTCACTCAGTTAAGACACCCACGCACACAGAGGTTTCCCCATGGTATTTTCAGGGGAAAATGTGTATGTTTGCCTTCTACTTAGTTGGCAAGCAATGCCTTTGCTATTGTCCATCAGGGGTCATTTGGAACCCAAAGAAATGGGCTTAAGACATCTTGCTCCTCTTTCTGTTTTCATTCCTGGTCTGGGGATGGGCTCCAGCGCTAGCCCTGGCTCTTGGCAGCTTCGTGGGGCTCGATTCCGAGCTTGGCGTTTTGGTTTCCGAGTCTGTGGTGGCTCCCTCTTCTCCTCTAGGAGAGTGAATGCCGTGCAGATGCGTTTGCTGCTTAGTTAAAACTCTTAGATATATCAGTTTTGTTATAGATACTTAAGACAAATTATGTGCTTCTGTTAAATTCTGGTGTTGCTTAAGTAATTTCTGGCAGCAGCTATTTAATCTGCTGGTCTCTTGGGTAACTTCCTGTAAATGATTTTGAAATGGAACATTTCTGAGTTTTTTTGCCTTTTCTTAATGTGAAGATAGTTTCAGGACATAATCTATTGTAACACTTCCTTGGGGTGAATGAAAACAAAAGTACTATTTTGTGTTTTGTCTTATTTTAGATGCTTTTCTACCTTATAAAATGTTTTATTTTGGTGTTAAAAAAATCGGTGTTCTTATATTCCCCTTTCCTCTGCAATTTTATTCATGAGAAGATAGTAAGAGCTAAAAGTGGAAATGTGTGAATGTTCGAGCTGCATCTGGATTTGTGTCACTGCTGTGTCCTCTACACCTTGACACCTGGAGGGCACCAGAGCTGGCAATGGCAGGTGCTTCCTGCGCACTTGGTGAATCGGTTGGAAATGAGTTGGAATAAAGGCTGGATGTGTTCTATTGTGAGATTACTGCTCCTCCAGAGCTTTTTAAAGAGCTCTCAACAGTATTGCAATGTTGCATCTATTACAGACACATCTACCTGTTCAAGGCACAGGTCAGGCCCACTGATGTACGTGCAGTTCACGTATTTATTTATGCTTTGGTTTTTGACTTCTGGGCACAGATACTGTACAAGCTTGTATATATATGTCCATTTATGCTGGGATGAAATAAATCATTGGAAAATGCTAGTGCTCCTGAAATCTGTGTGGTGGTTCCTCGCCTTTTTCTGTCTGCACAGCAGAGCTCCAGATGAGGTGTGCTCTCCAGAGAGAGGTGCTCCCCTGGGGCTGGCAGATTCTAGCCCTACCTGCCAGCCCAGGGTTGAGTCTCCCCACCTGTAAATGAGTCTGATGACTCCTGGGGGTCTTTCTCAGCACGAGTTCTAAGGGGGGGGTCTTTCAATACTTGCAAGGTATAGTTCACCGCCTCCACCCTCCCTTACCTGTCCCCTTGGCCAGCAGGTGGGGGCACCTCATAGTTTCTGAGACCGGTACACCTTTGGAGTCTTCATGCTCCATCTCCTATGAATAAAAAGTTGGAGAAAAAATTTGTATACCCAGACATTTCTTTTTATAGTTTGCGCTCAACAGGAGCGTGAGCCCAGGCATTATTGTTAATTTGTAAGGGTTCTTAAAATTGTATTTATTTTCTTCTTAAAAATCTTTATTATTTCTTGGGCTGGGGCAGGAATGCTGCTCAAAGAATATTCTTAAGCAAGGGTGGAGATGGAAGCCCATGGCCTTGAGCCTGTTGTCTGCAGTCTCCTTCACAGCACTACCTTCTGCAAAGACAGAATTAAATCTGAACCTTCCCCAGCCTCAGCCTCTTTCCCTGCCGAGTTGTGGATTTTGACCATACGTCAGAATGCTTTCCTTGGCCTTCAGCATCTTTAAAATGAGATGTGATGCCACAGACACGGGGACTTTAAGGCTGAGGTGATGAATCTTAGAACCTGGGTCCGAGGAAGGATGTGGGGAAAATTCACCCAAGCCTAATATTCTCACCCAGTGGGAACAGGGCTGTAACCCCTTAAGACAAATGGAATGATGTCCGTTTTTGCAGAGAGGAGTTCGCTGTGCTCGGCTCCTTAGGGAACATAACTGGAGCCCTGTAAGCATCTTCCTCATTTTGCTGGTGGCTGGAGACCCTGCCGCCCCCGTGGTGCGGACACTAGAATGACCTGTCCACTAGCGGGTGGGTGCCTGACCACTGCCCTGCAGGCCTTAGGGGTCTTAGAAGACACCCCTAAACATTCCAGCAACAGAGACGAAGCAGTTGAACCCACAGCCTTTTCCCAAAGAAGCAATGGTGTCTCCCGTTGTCAGAGTGTTTGGGACGGTGGGAGTCGCTCCTAATCATCGTCCTTGGTGACTTCCGCTCTGCAGAGCTGTTCTGCTGAGGGCGGTGACACAGCGCGAGGAAGCCCCTCCGTGGGGCGGCCCCTGTGGACTGCAGCCCTGTCTCCGCCTGCCCGGACAGCCCGGGAGAAAGTGCTTGGCTTCATCCGCCGTCACGCTTCCTTACTTGTA